TCACACACACACACACACACACACACAACGCTCAAAAATTTCGACTGCGCTGCATGCAATCCCCAATGTTACGCCAATCAGATAATGGTGCATGTTCTACATACACAATATCGTGGTAGGCCTACAAACGGATTGGCGTTCTTCCGTCCGTCCGTCCGTCCGTCAGTGGGTCCTCGCGCTCGCCCCCCGCGGTTCCTGTTGTGATTGCAGACACTTGCATTGAGTTATCACTGGCGACGCGAGGAGCGCGTCCGGACGGTTTTCCTTCTGACGCGAGGTGCGAACTGCTTCTAGCGGAACCAACCCGTCGCTTGTGACAAACTCGCTGTGATAATCATCGACACCTCTGGTGTTGCTGTCGCTATCAATGTCGAAGCAATTACTGACTGCCTGCGCAGCAGCTCCCAACGAACAGCGGAGCCCGCCGGCCAGCCAGCCCAGCCCCGTGTGCTAGTGAGAGAAAGAGAAAGAGAGAGGGAGAGAGAGAGGGGGGAGGTACAAAAAAAAACAAGAAATACGTGTCACTAAAATTGCACACAGATTTGGATTTCAGCTGCTTGTGAGATAAACACGGATTAGTCGTCTTGCAACAGGGGGATTACGTTTCCGGTTTTAAAGGAACTGAACATTCTCCCAGTATCAGGTTTTTTGTTTTAATTCTTTTAAAATCTTTTCATTTATTCCCGCCTACAGCCCGGTTTGGATTATTTCATTGTCGTTACGGCTGCCAGAGAGAGTACAGGGAGACGGTTGTTTCTCAGAATAGTGCTTTAATCTTTCGGTGCAAAAACAAAATTGCTTTAAAACATTAGTTCTCTGGGGTCCATTCAGAGGAAAAGTGTGTTCTTCACCGGAAAATTAATCCTCTCAAGATTGTGTTATAAGAGGTGCATCGAGGAAAAGCGGATTGCGTTACCGAGGATGATCTCGGATTGCGGACAACAAAAAGCGGCGGAATATGATCCTAGACCGTTGGACAGTTGTCGGGGAACCACAGAGATTCTGGACCCGTTCTGCTAGTCAGACGCCCAATAAAATATGTGACAGGAGTGAATTTAATTATTGAAACACCTAAAATCATCTGAAGAGAACTGGAATAGATTTGATGGTTTTTATCTCTGGGTGAACATTTTTTGCTTTAAACTTTCCTGTCACAACTGTCTGGAGGTAAAATCGGATTATAAACATTGTACTCTGCAAACAATTGGAGTTTACTTTTTGTCGGTGATATGTTGTATCAACAAAACATCTGATTACAAGTGAGATATCATTGTGCTTTGCTTCCAATTCGATTCAAGGCTAGTGTGAAACATACAGTTTCTGTAATCAGTGTCAGAAGTTAGTGCATAAATTGTTGAATTCTGTAGATTTTCAGTATGTTCAGCCCGCAGATTTCAACATAGGATTTGAACCTTCTGCTTCCAAGTTGAGACTAAAGCACTTACCCCGGACTAACAAAATGGATTACTTGAACGCGCTCGCACTTCGGTAAGTTTTACAAATTTAACTATATAGTCGTAATGTCATTTTATTTTCGGCTTTGTTCACTTTTGCATCAAGATCTATGGGTTTTTTTAAAGACGGAAATATAAAAATAAATTCACAAGGACGGATAGTTAAATGTCTGATAAAACACGGAAGACAATTTTAGAGTGATCTCAGGTAAATGCTTCCTGGTGTATTTGTTTCTTATGTTTGTTCGCTTTTTTTCTATCTATGTGTCGCTTTTATTTCTCTTTGTTGTTGATGTTGTTATTGTTGGTGGTGATGATTATGCTTCTTGTTATGTTATTTTCCGTTTTTGTTGATTGTTTTGTCTTGTTTTGTCTGGTTGTTGTTTTTTTAATCTGTTCTTTATTGTTGTTTGTTGTTGTTGTTATTTTTGTTGTTATTTCTGTTGTTGTTGTTGTTGTTGTTGTTGTTATGGGGGTTGTTGTTTTTTATTGTCGTTATTTTTGCTCGAAAAAGACTTGACATTCGATGTATTTTTACAATTTGTCTGCCGTGCTGTTGGACTCAGCTAGTGTCTTTACAGCACAGGGACCCCCCTCCACTTCCTTAACGGTGCAGTAATTTATTGGCCGTGCGTCTCTCGACAGGGTGCACGCCAGTGAAAGGAAAAAATAACACCTTACCCTTTGCAGACAAGCTGTGGTCTCGTGTAGATATTTACCCGACTTCTTATTAAAACTTCACCCGTCGTCGTAAATCGCGCCTCACGTCGTACAGGTTACAAGCAACAATGTTTTTACAACATTTTCTCTTTGAACAATTGTCTGCAACGAAAACCATATCTTTTACCCAACAGGAAGACGCTACAGACATGCGGAGGATATGGCCGAAAACCCACTATTTGAAAATATTTCCAGTAGATCTACAGCCTACAAAAAGAATTGTAAGGGTTAGAGTACCTTGAAAGAGTAAATTAAAATTAATGAATCACCAAATAACTGTAGGAAGTTTACATAAAACAAGCTAAATCACACGAGGAGGAATAAATTACATTCACTAAAAATCTAGTGATATGTTTATGGGAGTTCTCTATAAACAAATGTGTACTCAGAAGATGCGTGAGCAAGGTTCCCAACACCTTGGCCTGCATATCTGAACAGAGTAGAGTTGTAAAACATTTGTAACTTGACACATCGTGTAGCGCCTACTTAAAAAAAAAAAAGAAATCAGTTGCATGTTCCCTCTCGCTATATATACACAGTTCCCGGGTGTCATCTTCGTCAAAATTTGGTGTTGCAAAACTACCAGGAGGTTGACATTCATGGTAGTAGATCTACCTATCTTTGTGCGTGTTCTATCTAGCGTCTCTCTGTGTACTGTTAACATACAACACCTGTGTCTAGGCCGGACAGTCCGCAACTTAAATGAGAGTATCAATGTCCTGGACTTTACAAAAATATTGATAATACATAAATGTATTTAACCGTCAAGCAACCAGACACGTCATGAGATTCACAAGACAATCTCAAATGTTGACTCCAGTTGTTAACAGCAGGCTGCATCTTCCAGGAGTCTTCTCTTAACAACGTTGACTGTACACTTTCCCGTCTGTCTGCATGCCTGTCTGTTGTATCTTTTGCTTTTAGAATCTTTCTCCTTCTATTCGAGATCGCGTCCTCTTTTTCATCTTGTATCCTTATGCTCCTGTCCCCAACACCCACACGCATGAACGTGAACGTGTGCGCTCGCGCGTGCGCGCGCACACACACACACACACACGCACGCACACACACACACACACACACACACACACACACACACACACACAAACATACACACACACACAAAAACAAACATACACACACAAACATTCACACACAAACATACACACACAAGCATATACACATACACACACAAACATACACATACACACACAAACACACACACACACACACAAACACAAACACAAACACACAAACACACACACACACACACACACACACACACACACACACAAACACACACACACACACAAACACACACATAAATCTATACATGTAAACACATGCACACATACACCCTCGTATAAAATATTATATGTAAAACTACCTACAAAGAAACAATCACACATACACAGTCGTACACAAACGCACACCCTCTTAACACTCACATAAATGTATGTTGTACGTGTTGTTTGTTTGTTTCGTTAGTTGGTTTGTTTGTTTTTTGTTTTTGTTTGTTTTTCTTAATTAATTTCAAATCAACAACAAAAAACTCGCTATTTGGGCATTTTTCTTATAAAAATCTTTTCATCCAATTTCTTATCTTTTTATGCATCCATATATATTCACATACACACACTTATTCGCCAAAGTTTTCATCTGTCTGTCTGTCTGTCGGTCTGTCGGTCTGTTTGTCTGTCTGTCTGTCTGTCTGTCTGTCTGTCTGTCTGTCTGTCTGTCTGTCTGTCTGCAAAAATGCATCGCTTATTTGTTTACGTATCATTTAACGTATTACATTATTCGATAAAATTGAATATTTACATTTTCTCAATTTGTCATTATCTTTGCTAATGGGAAAGCTGCTATGAGTGCCCATTACTGCCGAAATTTTTATTTTTTTACAGTATTGAAGTTAAGATTAATTAAATTTGCTTTGATGACCTTATTTTTATCCTAGTGTACTATGTTTTATTATGTCTTTATTTCTTCCTGCGCGATATTCTAGCGTGGTTTTACTGTAGTTAGGTTTATGTTGGGTTTTTTAAAATACTAGTTTGTATATTTTTAACAGCTCTTTTTACTTTCGGCGAGTCAGATTTATTTATAGAGAAAACGCATACATTTCAAGCTAATATCCATATCCTCGTGGGATTTCGCTGTCGCAGTTCCAAGTTCATGCCCTGCTGACAATTTCGGCAGCTTAAAATACAATTTTTTTGCTCTTTTAGATATCTTTTTAAAGGAGGTTGGGCTCATTTATGTAGCCAAATCTGACAAAATATTGACAGCTTAACGGATTCTTGCCAGGCGCATGGTTATTTACGTGTTTAAATCTGCTAACAACATTAAAGTTTATCCCAGTTGCGTAAGGTTTGCGCAAACGCATTGACCTGTTATCGTAACGACGCTCTCTCTCTTATCCAAACTATTCAGTCATATTTTTTCCCCTTAATTTGCGTTCATCTTCCAGCTGTGTAGATAAACGTCCTGGGCGTGACAGGCTGTTTATCCGTCGTTTGTGTATTTATCTGTTGCTTTGTGGCTGTATCTATATTGAGCGGGTCACTCGGCTAGCAATCTCTTTCGCACATGGGGAGGTATTAAATTTATTGAGTTTCGTTACGCGCTCTTTTCGTGAGAACTGGAACGAGTTAAAGAGTGCAGGATGAAGAATGTGTGTGTATTCGTGTATTCTATGTCTATGTGTGGGTTTGACCTCATGAGGAGAATGCATAAAACACGGTGTGTGAATACTTATATACTATGAGGACAATGAGAAAGAGGAGCAAGAGGGAGACAGAACGAGTGTGTAAAGAAGAGTGAGACTGACAGAAGGTTATGAGTCATTTTGTCAGTGGTGTAGTAATACATGTGTGCGTGTGCGTGCGTGCGTGCATGCGTGAGTGTGTGTGGGCGCGAGAAAGTGTGTGTGTGTGTTTATATTTGTGTGTGTGTGTGTGTGTGTGTGTGTGTG